GTTTACGGTCGAGTACTCACCTCAATAACCCTGAAGAAACTCGAACCGGTGATCATTGGGGAGTAAACTCAATGTTTGACCAATTAAGCAACCCCTCAATGTTAAGAATTATTTTCAATACCTTAAAAGCAACTTCTATCATCCAATCGAAGTCAAAATTTAATTTTTACCACACATTCAAAACTACTAATTACTATCTACACATTTTGCGGTCCCTACCACAAGTCCTAAAAAATTACTAAAAATGTTTCGCGAACAAAGGTATAGACCAGTGATCATCAACAGTTATGCAGAATACCATTGGTTCAATAGAGTGACATGCATGAGGTCCCTGCACTTGCATCCTCCACCCGTATGATTGTTGTGACCAATGACCATTATGTTTTTGTTGTGTGATTGTAAATTTATTGGGAAATGTTAACCATGAACTTTTCATAATTTTTAATGGGAAATGATATATGTACCTAGGGGTTTACACCCCGGGTTACCTGACCCCACCGTCCCCTCACAATGAGGTGGGGCCCGAGGTGAATTAAATAATCGACGGGCCCNCCGAGGTGAATTAAATAATCGACGGGCCCTCCATTGTGAGGGGGTGTGGGGTCGGGTAACCCGGGGTGTAAACCCCCGGTACTTGTAGCAAAACCCATTTTTACTAGGGGGAAATTTAACGTGCTAGATTCTTAAGCAAATTATTTTCAATTTCGTAAGAAGTTTATTATGGGATTGAGATTAGATTACTTATCTCTATAATATGTACTATGGCTGTCGCTACGTTAGTCTTTAGCTTATGTATAGATGATGGTGTCTGTTTATTTATTTAGACAAAACCGTTCAATTTTGAATCTTTTCATCACATTAGGACTTTGAATTTGAGTCTTTTGATGCCAAAAGGCAAGCCCGTGTTTCAACTTCGACAAAGAATTAAAGAAATCTCGTGCTGCAGAAGTTCAAAATCAATCAGAGAAGGTATGTACTATTTGTCATAATTCGTTTCTTTTAATGATTTTATTCTTTTCCAAATGATTGATTATTCTATTCGAATCGTGCTATTGGGCCCGGCTCAATGACTGGGGCCCAAAAACAGGGCGCTGAGGTGGCACCCTCACATTGGAGGGGGAGCTGACGAAGGTCATTGAGCCGGGACAAATGGCTTAATTCTATTCAATATTTTAAATGCTTTGATTATTTACAGCTTGTTTGTTCCACATTTTTGCTCTATTTGTGGAAAAAAATGCACCGTTGCCAATCAAATCAGCCACCATCTTTGACTTTTTTATCTCACACAAATTCAAATTCTTTGAAAATAACGGTAGAATTTTTATACTTTTGGCCAAATAATTTGAGCCAAACATGGGCTCAATAATTTAAATGCTGCAACATTTGCAGAGACGCCGTGATAGGATAAATGAAAAGATGAAGGCTTTGGAGGAACTCATTTCACGATGCAACAAGGTTTCAGAGTTTATGTATAGTTTTCGTTGTCATGGTTGAAGCACATTTAGCTATTAAACATAAAAAGTTTACTTAGATATAAACCAAGTTACTTATTTTTCTGCTTAGCCAAACATGAGGTTACGTACTTTCAAGAATAGCTTTTCTACTCTCTTTGGGATCTAATCTGAATTTCAGTCAGATAAAGCTTCAATACTGGATGAGGCAATTGAGTATTTAAAATCACTACAACTGCAAGTTCAGGTACAATTTCCTATTCGTTTTCACTAATGTTCCATCAAATATGAAATTGTCTTGTAGAATCTAAGGTAAATCTCCTCTTTCATAATGCATTCTGGCAAATAGCTAATCAAGTTCTTCATGTTTTTGACTCCAATAATTTTGCCATAAAATCACTGCAACTCTCACATGTTGTGGGTATGTGCATAATTGCACAAAATTTACTTCACTTAACATGATTGTTAGGTATAGTTTGTCATTTTTCTTCACTATATTACGCTTTTCTTTTGCATGATGTTTGCTGTCCATGTACAAAGTAAGAAGTCCCTTCACTTGAAGGTCCCTTGAACCCATTCCCACCCCAACTCCCACTCCTCCAAAACCATCCTCTCTCACAATATTGAAGATTGCCTATTTGTTGGTTTGAATCTCTGCTTAGCAACTTCTTGTTGGTCAGTTTGATGAATCAACTCCAATATCCAATGCTTGATGCTGGCCCTTAAATTTGCATGTGAACTTACTAATCATCAGAAAGTTATTTTGTGCATTTTAAAAGGAAAATGGGACTATTTTTTCCAGATGACGTCCATGGGACGACATGGCATGGTGCCTGTGATGTATCCCGGCATCCAGCAGTTCATACCTGGAATGGGGATGGGCATTGATATGGGCATGAACTGGCCAATGGTACCATATCCATCTCTGGAGCAGCACATATCGGTCCAACATTTTCTATGCCACCAGTCCCAGTACCTGATCCTACAAGAATCCAAGCTCCTAACAAATCTGATCCTATGTTAAACTCACTTGCGGCGCAGAATCCGAATCAGCCACAAATTCCATATTTTGTCGATCCATACCAACAGTATCTTGGTCTCCATCAGCCACGGATACCATTGCCACAGGTGAGTTGGACACTCCGTAACTTAGATTTAATTGGCACTAAAATTTGTTGTTTGTTCTTCTAATTAATCATCCTCCAGTAAAAACTTCAGCTCATAATGTTGTCATCACTATGTTCAAATTTTAATTTAAAATTGAACATTTTATTACTCTTATAATAATAAATTGTACATATTTATTTTGGTTGAGCACTTGGACAAAATAAATATTGGAACGTTCCCTCCCTTGTCTGATGTGGCAATCATCAAGGGGAGCGCCACATGTAAGTGAATGGCATTGTAGCCCTACATCTGGAGTCATCTTTTTCATCAGGGTTTAACATGTGCACAATTTTTATAAATAAATAGTGATAAGACTTGACTCAGGACATTATCTTGCTCTAATACCACACAATACTAATGTTAAAACCTTAAGCTGTCAGGTAAGGGATACATTATTAAAATCTAATCTTCAACAAACTTATCTAGGAGGAGGAATAATCATATGCATCATTCTAAGCATAAATCAAATTTGCTTCATTATTGGGTTGGTAGTTTTATTTATGAGTACCTTTGATATATCTGCAGAATCAAGCAGTAATGCAGCCTGCTGCCAAGTGCCAACAAACCAAGTAGCAAAAAGGATATTGGAAACCCTGAGAATCAACAATCTGGTAGGCAAGTTATAAATGTATATTCTTTAACAGTTCATAAGAAAATTGGTAAATTTATATGAACAGTTGAAAGAAATCACCAAAGAATCATATTTCAAGTGGTTTGTGGAAGGCACACAGGGTAACAACTCTAGTGTTGATGTATGGAGCATGTTTAGCTAAGCTTAAAAGGTTACTTTAAAGTAACTTTTTTTACCAAATATTTCGATTTTTTTTCTTGAAGTTACTTTTTGTCTTGAGTTTCTAGTTAAACTTACTTCAAAAAGCAAGTCCTTAGTTACTTTACAAAATATTTGTTTTACTGTTGCTCAAGCTTAGCTGAAGTACTAGGATTTCATCTGTAACATTATTTGGTATCTTTGCAGGTTAATCTTCAGATGGATCAATGATGGGAGGCTTCTGCCCAACTAATTTTTGTAGTGTAACAGAGACAAGAATAAGTATAGTTTACACCAGCAGGCTAATCCTTGATGACCTCTCTAACATGTAACTATTACTCTTAAATTGTTACTTTTGTTTTTGTTTTTGTTTTTTATTTGGATCCTAAAACCCCCTTTTCATACAATGTGGAATGCATCTTGGTCATCAAGCTTAGGAGGTATTATCATGTGGAGAAATAAAAATGGGGAGTTATAGCACAGAAATTTGCATACAAGAGGATAAACCCCATTCTCCTCTCCTAAAACGAAATGAGGTTGAAATCACCAGTAGAAGCACTCTCAAGGACACTGGTTAACCCTCCAGTAGAACGATGGAAGAATCTATCCACCTAACAATAAGGCGTTAATGGAATGCCCTACTAGTATTATCCTCTTTGGATCTTGGCTTTGGAGTCGCAAAACTAATGAGCAAACCATGAACTCATTCTGACAATTTAAGAGAAATGAGCTCGAACTTGAAGCAACTTGGACTTGCAGATACTCTGTAATGATCTTCACTAGTTTAAGCATGGATTTGTTGGTAGGTTGTGACCTGAGTCTCAAATGTGTGATTAGGGGAATCTATCAAAGAGAAGTCCAATTACAATGAGGTGCTATACAAAGAGAAAAATCAACTTGTTAAATCTGAACAACATTGGACACTGGAGGGTTTTTACATTACCAAAGAAACGAAAACGCAAAAACCCATATCTTCACCCATTTAAACAAAATAAGTATAATTAAGCCAACGAGAGAAGAGTACAAAAGAAACAAACTTGCAAAGCATGATTCTCACAAGTAACAAGAGTTGCTTGACAGAATCTCAAACTACTCCCCTTAGAATGCTCATATCTCAGGAACTGATTGAGCAATTGTAGTTAAAATCTGCAGTTAAAAGAACGCAACGAATGACAACAATAAACTCATCAGCTCAGGCTTTAGTTTCCATACGATTTTTGGCTCTTAGATCAAAGAAAGTAATACCTTTTCAGTAAGAGCGCAGAACTCCTCTGACTTCATTGCTTTATCCAGCTCCTAACAAAGAATATAATGAGAAGATGAATAAGAATAAGAAGAAAACCTCAGCATTACCTCAGAGAGGAACTAATAGCACTCACATTCTCAGCATCAGCAGAACAATTAACATTACATATAAGTTTCCGAAGTTCTTCATTCTTCAGCGCGCCCCGAATTTCACTTGAAGATGCTGAAGCAGAAAGTGAAATATATATACAAACCCTTTGGTTTATCAGTCAAAGTAGTTAATATGATCGTATAAAATATATGCAGACTATAGTGTTAAATAATAAACAAAGATGTTTCGTTCTATCGACTTATTAGATATCAAACTGATAAAATATATATTATATAAATAATTATACCTCAAATTAAATGCAATAAAAAAATTAGTTTCATTCATTAACATAAAATTTAACATTATTCCAATATATAAATATATAATATAAACAATTAAATATATCAATACTTAAATATCATATTTAAATTTATTAATAACTTAACACTTCAAATAATATTTTTGCTAAAATTTGGATGGAAATTGGAAAATAGACATTTCAGAACCTTGTTGCATAAAGACAGATAATTGCCTTTTTGATTATTTGACACTTGAACTGCACTTATAACTATTTTGCCAAAAACATACAAGTACACCAACTTGTAAGAGCTAAGCTTTAAACACCTGACAACCACATAATTCTGGTATAGAAGTGAATTCTGGTATAGAAGTGAAAGTTCATACCAAGTTGCAGCTGTGGACACCCTCTAAAAAAATATCGCTAGATGCATCGAACTACAAATTCTTTAAATTTCACAAAAAACATAAAAATTTATAGAAATCCAGTCCATCATCAACTTTATATGTAAGGCTTAGGCATATAGATATGCATATGAGCACACAAAAACACTAGCAATATAATATATATAAGTCAGGCTTCGCTGCTCGGTAGGCTGCTTGGAAGGCTGCTGGTTTTCAATTTAGTGCGAGTACTGCAACTTAATGTAGAAAACCTTTATTAGCATGAAGAAATAGTTGTGCGTTTAATTGCAAATTAGTACTTCACCTACAGACAGTAGTTGTGATTCTTGCAGCACCTCATTCGGATCATTGACGTAATATGGTTTCTGAATATGTAATGCAGGATCAGAATCTGATACAAAATGAACAATATCATTATAAATAACCGTCCAGAATGAGATCCTAGTAAAATCTCATTTTCCAAACAATAAAAGCTTGAATGCTATTATCAGAGGCATTGTTTACATTTTATGTTGGTGTGAGCGAAAGAGAGAAAAAGTAACAAAACTTCCGGTTATGGTGGAAGAAGAGAAGTTAGTTTAGTTATTTAAGATTATTTTGAACAAGACCAGTAACTCTAAATAACGTGCTTGAAGATTTTGATTGTACAAATATACCCGTGAAAGAATTCATATAGTTTCAGGTTCTGGAGGAATATAACTGTAAAAAGAAGGGATCGTTCACAAGGGAAACGTGAACAGAGAACTTTAATCCCGCTAAGATTAACATAGATAACTATCATCAATAGTGATTTTGATTCATTAACACTGGAAGGAAAACTGAAGTGGAAATGAAGAAACCATTGAAGTTCACTTACAAAAATCAATTTCGTGCAATCTCTGCTCCTGGCCCTCTTTATTTACTGTCTCTTTCTCGGCTGTGCAAGAGCAGGGATCAACATGTGAGCAAATTTGTGATATGAATAGGCTAGAAGGATCTGACACAGCTAACTGGAAATGATGGTAGTGCTGACAAGTGCTTTGTCAGTTTCTATGTGCTCAATTCATAACAGTGGAAGGAAAATTGAAGGAGAATTAAATGGGAATGAGGAAACCATTGAAGTTCACTTACGCATATCAGGTTCTTGCCGTCTATGCTCTTTTCCCTCTCTCTTTATTGTTTCAGTCTCAGCTGTGAAAGAACAGGAATCAATAAATGAGCAAAATTTGTCATATGAATGGGCTACAAGATCGGATGCAGCTAACTGGAATTGCTAATAGTGCAGGAAAGTGTTGCAAAGTTGTCAAGTTAATGAACAAAATTTTATTTGTAGTGAGTTCTGATTATTTCCATTAATATAGTTCTGAAATCAGTTCATTCGCATGTCATCAATTAACCTCTCCATACTTCAGCAAAAGTATTTTACTATTTCCAAAGATTTATTTCAAGAACTCCTTTTTTTTTTTTTTACGCTGAAGGAAAAAATTCCAATGGTAGAAGTTTTAGCAATCTTCCCACTTCGAAATGAATGGTAAAATCTACAAACAAGTACCAGCCTAGAACATGTGGAAAACTTAAACTTATAATAGTCAGGATAGTAGCTTTTCTGAAGATCTCATATTTGGCATAACTTCAGTGTGGGCGACCAGTCAAGCCTCCCATTCAATCATTCCAACAGCTCTGAAACCTCATATGTTATCGTCAAAAGACTGCAGAAAATGTTTGGCTTGGCAATTAACAGCTCAACCAGTTGGGCAAACGTATATGAATGAAACACCTGTGTAACGAGGAACAGTATTGATTTAAGGTAACTAAATAAACCTATGTCCTGTGAGACTGTGATACATTCACAATTGACTCTCGGTGTATCTTGAGAATCTTCAAGATGAAGTTGCTGCTGTTCTTATTGCCAAGAGGAGTTCTCCTCTTGCAAGTCATAAGCTCCGATGATATACTTGATTTGCAAGAAAGAATTAACGAAAAGCTCCAGAAAATACTATGCTGTTTGGCTCCCATATTAAAGATCCATTGGTTCCAAAAGAACCATCTTTATTGCAATAGCTCTATCTTAGAAGGGTGCTGCTTCTGGGAAGATCATATCTTCATCCCATGATATCTGTCCACAAATATTAACAAGATTTCTAGACTTACTCCACATCAGAAGATCGATGAACGATGTTGAGCTGACTCACAAATTTTCCATATCATTTAAGCCTTCACCTTCACAATTCCTTTCACTAATAGTATTTTTTTCATTCATGCCACCCCTGCGTCCTTATTTTTCTCTCTTTTCAACCTCTTATAACCTTTCCATATTTCTAGCACAGGCATTAGTTAGTAAACATTAGAGTAGAGACCTTCTTGCAAGTTAAACTCTACCCATCCGGAATTAGCTTCTTCAACTAAACATCTTTAGCCCTTGTTCGATTTTTCCAGAATGACTTTTCCTCAAACTCATTTTCAACTACACATACTCCAAATAAAATAATTTTGCTCGTGGACTCATAACATTTCCTACTTTCTAACCACATATTCTTAAAGAATCACTTTTCACAAAATCACTTCTCAAAAAAAAAAAAAAAATCATACAAGGGCTCAATATCACCTTTCGTATAACTGAACAGACCTTTTAATGCTTTGTCTGAAAACAATATACAAACGGTGCACCCATAATAGGATAGCACGCTTAAGACTGTAATTCAAAATTTTCACAACCGTAAACTTGTAATAGGATCTCACACGTTCTTGTAGACTTCACCAAAACAGTGATAAGGTAATCTCATATCATTTAAGAAGACATTTCAAATTTGTGTGATTTGTGAAACATAAGAGAAACTTCTTATTTCTAGATTATATAGCTACCTTTACACTGTACTCTTCATTGTGACTAAATTATTAGATTTGCAGGAAAAAAAAATTTAACCGAGAGAAAGAAGAATGAGAAATTGGGTGAGCAATCCAAGACAATGATAAAGTCTGGGTGAAACTAAATGGGGGTCCAAACCAATTGATGTTGAAGAAACAGCAAATTAGTTGTGGTTAAAATGCCACTCAAACATAGAAATAGTTGGCTCTCCCTCAAATGCGTTGAGAAGCAGTTGATGTGACATCTAGGGGGGGTAAAGCACTATTTCGGTGCAGGGAGCAATAACAAATAGAGGCAAGTTTTGAACACTAGACATGACCTCAAAATAATTGAGACAAATCGACCTGCTACCTATTGATGTGCGAGAACAGACTGCTAGGAAACAATCCAATTAAAAGAACTCAAACGTTTCAAAAGCAATTATATGGTACTATAAACAGTAATAATGTCCTTACTTAGTTTTTCCCCAGACAAAGATTCGGGTTTTGAGCAAGGAATTTCTGCACAAGCATCACATAAAAGCTCAAATTAAACAGTAGAAGAAATCACAAATAGCCAAAACAGAAGGACAGAGTATTATATCTACCTTTGTGTTTCTTAAAACAGATCAATGAACAACTGCGAGTGGCAAAATAAAATCCAACCGAAATTAATCAGTTAAATTCAAGATAAAAAAAAAAATCAAAAAATCTAATACAAAATTTACATAGAACGAAAAGCATACTAGGGTATGAGGCAGGTAGGACATTTATATTTGGATTGTGCTTCGTCGCAAACTCCACATTTTTTTATTGCCATATTTGTAGGAGATTTGATTATTTTGTGGCAGCTTTTTTTCTTATTTTGTCTCAATTTTTTGTGAAAATGCTCACTCTCTCTCTCTCTGAAAGCTTGAGCAGACTAGAAGAAAGAAGAAGAAGAAGACGAAATCGAATAAAAATGGATTATTTAATTATTCAATTAAAATTTTTATTTTTGTTTTAACAGTAAAATAAATCACGTGAACCTCACGTGACCTAAACTGGTCCTATATATTTACGGAGTATTTCGTTGCATTCATCTGCAGATTCTTTCTTGAGTAGCAAGACAACACTCTCAAATATCCCCAAAATCTTAAGCCAAACCGTACAATCATGGGTCAGGGCACTCCCGGCGGTCTGAATCGGCAACTCCCTGGGGACCGGAAGAATGACGGCGACAAAAAGGAGAAAAAGTTTGAGCCGGCGGCACCACCTGCTCGAGTCGGCCGCAAGCAGAGGAAGCAGAAGGGACCTGAGGCGGCGGCCCGGCTTCCAACTGTGACACCGCTGAGCAAATGCAAGTTGCGGCTTCTGAAGCTTGAGCGAATCAAAGACTATTTGCTAATGGAGGAAGAGTTCGTGGCGAACCAGGAGAGATTGAAGCCTCAGGAAGAGAAGACGGAGGAGGATAGATCCAAGGTCGACGATTTGCGTGGGACACCGATGAGTGTAGGCAATTTGGAGGAGCTGATTGATGAGAATCACGCTATTGTTTCGTCGTCTGTGGGGCCAGAGTACTATGTTGGGATTTTGTCCTTTGTCGATAAGGATCAGCTCGAGCCTGGCTGCGCTATTCTCATGCACAACAAGGTACCTTTTTTTATTGATTGTGTGGTTATGGGTTTAAATTGTGAAGCCGGTTCGAGGTTTTTTTTTAGCTATTTAATGACTGGAAATTCTGTGGAGGGTCGTGTTGAGGATTGAGACTTTGATTTGACATTGAGTGCATTTCTATCTTTTTTATTTTCGAAATGTAGTGGATAGAAATGGAGCTTAGAATTTCATTTATTATGGGATCATGTTGGTAATAAATATGATAGTGAGTTTTATTTGGCAACGCCATCTACGAGTGAATGTATGCTGTTTTTGAGTAATTTATATTTGCAAACTCTACCTGGGAGTGTATATATATTGTTTTTGGCTAATTGTTATCTAAGAATGGTTTTGCGTATTTTGCCATTCTAATTTTTGTGTTGCTGATTCAATTAATATGGTGAAGCTGTTGAATTGAACTTATGGACTGCTTGCAAAGTCATGGACACTCTTGATTTGGGTTGTTACTGGCTTTATGTTTCACATGATGCAGTGATTGATTTTACATTTTGTCATGGTTTCCATTGTAAGTTACGAGGCTTGTCCCACATCGAAGGTATGGGCTTTGGGTGTGTGATTTATAACCCTTTGGGCACCCTCCCCTTGATAGCTAACTTTTGAGGGTTAGTTCTACACAAGAGGTTGCAACAATGGTATCAGAGCAGCCACCACATCTCCCGGTTGCAATCGAGCAGCGCGGATGGTGACGCCGGCATAGCAGTGTTCGTCCGGGACTAGCCATGGACTAGTGCAAAGCCAGTCCGACGTGGGCTCGGGATCTCGGAGCGTGGTGGTTTGTCATGGTTTCCATTGTAAGTTATAGGGCTTGTCTCACATCGAAAGTATGGGCTTTGAGTGTGTGATTTATAACCCCTTGGGCACCCTCCCCTTGATAACTAGCTTTTGAGGATGAGTTCTACCCAAGAGGTTGTAACACATTTCTTAAAGGATGTGTCTCTGTGTTACATGGACATAAAATTGAACATGCAGTAGTAACCTAATGACACGGCTCTAATAATCTATTACCAAGCTGTAGCTTAAGTTAGACATTAGATAGTTCCAGGTGGTATTTCTTCCAGGTGGTATTTCCTCACTTTCTTTTTATTTGTGGCATAGGCAAGCATGTGGGGCTGGTAGATAGGAGTATCCATACTTGCAAAAATTTTGGAATCTGGCAGGATTAATGTTCACATCCTCTGTGTCTCTCATGTGTTAGTTTGATACTATTTTACATAATAGCAGCGTATGCGCTTCGGCATACTCATTGAATCGTTGCTTTTGTTGGATATCTGTATTGGCCATGATGTTTGATTGCTGTAAGTACATAAATTGTTGTTGGATTTGATGGATTCTATTGCAAGTTTCATTTCTAATGGTATATCACAACTTGAGTAGAGTGACTCAAGTTATCTTGACTTATCATTTGCTTTCTTTGAGGTGATCTTAGTTATCTTATTATAGATTTCAGCAAATGTTTTCCCATTTGAATTTCTGATATTAATACGTTTTCCTTGAAGTAGATTATCATCATAATTTGAATTCCTAAACGTGAAAGCCTTCAGAATAGTAGAAGTATAGAATATATATGATTTTCCATACAAATAAATGCCATTCTTCTTGTTAGATTGCATTTTGAAATCATGCACGAAAATGACACATTTTATGAAGCAATCCAGTATGTGTATAGGTTATGTAAAACAATAATAGATTTCTGCATTTATTTGTATTTAGACAATTATTTTTCATGTGTATCAGAATGTAAACATACCCACTCAAGGATATGCTCTAGTTCTAGAGTCATGTAGTCTGTATTTGTGATAGGGAAAGCACTCTTTTGAAGTTATGTATTGATGTATTATCGTATATATGAATGATTTTGAACTTCATTTATGAATGATTTACTGTGTTTACATGCATGGGCGATCAGCAAGTAATTCTGTAATTATCTGCTCCCTCTTTGCTGCCTGCCACATTGGGAGAAGGGGCCGTAAATTATTGAACAAGTTCCCAGACAAGAGTAATGGCGTCATACAAGTGCAAAGATTTATTTTGTGTGCTATGTGACAACTTCTTAATGAAAGAAATGCGTATATGTATGGGTTCAAATAATTTCAGAACACCATGCAATTTCTCAGTGAGAGAGCCTGGAGAGAAAACATCCTGCATCTTGTATATATTATTATTTTTTTATTTTTTGTGGAGGATGGGGTGGGGTGGATTTAATCTCTTTAGTTAATAAATCAATCTGAAATTTCTATCTTAAACCCATCTCAACTGCCAAACCACGAAATTCCTTCAAACAATGAACTAATGCAGAGCTGCAATTGAAAAGTGAGAATGAACTTTATTTTCTGCGTTAAGAAATTTTCTGTTGGGTGTCGTTGTAACACAAATGTTCTTAATTACCACGATGCTCAATGGTGCTGCAAAAACACTAACAGAATTCCAATGATCATTGAGCATTCTGTATTTTGCCTCATTAAGGATATTCACCTTGTTGCAGGTTCTCTCTGTTGTTGGACTTCTTCAAGATGATGTTGATCCCGTGGTGTCTGTAATGAAGGTTGAGAAGGCTCCATTGGAGTCCTATGCTGATATTGGTGGGTTGGATGCCCAGATCCAAGAGATCAAAGAGGCAGTCGAGCTCCCATTGACTCACCCTGAACTATATGAAGACATTGGTATTAAACCTCCCAAGGGAGTCATACTCTATGGAGAGCCTGGAACTGGAAAGACATTGCTTGCAAAGGTCAGTGTCGTTATGCTTTTGGTAAAATTAATACATTGCTCACTAAGGTCTGTAAATACGCTGATAAGAAGTATTATAGCTCGTACACTTCTCTTATTAATCTTTTTTTCAGGCAGTAGCAAACTCTACATCAGCAACTTTCTTGCGTGTAGTTGGAAGTGAATTGATTCAGAAGTACCTGGGAGATGGTCCTAAATTGGTGAGGGAACTCTTTAGAGTTGCTGATGATCTCTCCCCATCTATCGTCTTTATTGATGAAATTGATGCAGTTGGTACAAAGAGGTATTCTCCAGAACGTCAGTGTCCTGAAAATAGGGATAGTTACAGATGGCTATTTATTGATGAATTCTCTTTACAGATATGATGCCCACTCAGGTGGTGAACGTGAAATTCAGAGGACTATGTTGGAACTGCTGAACCAGTTAGATGGTTTTGATTCAAGAGGGGATGTTAAGGTCATTCTTGCAACAAATAAAATTGAAAGTCTTGATCCTGCCCTGCTTCGGCCCGGTAGAATAGACCGGAAGATCGAATTCCCCCTTCCAGATATTAAGACAAGGAGGCGTATTTTCCAAGTAAGCATGGCATGATTTGTACGCATGAAATACCATCAGTTCACCTCAGTCCAATATTTCTGATGATTTGTTGAGCAAACCTTCTTGTCTATTTCATAGATACACACATCAAGGATGACATTGGCTGATGATGTCAACCTAGAAGAATTTGTTATGACTAAAGACGAGTTTTCTGGAGCTGATATCAAAGCCATATGTACTGAAGCTGGATTGCTTGCTTTAAGAGAGCGCCGTATGAAGGTGAGGTGCTTCATTTTAATATTTGAAATTTATACGTAAGAACACACACATGTATTTATTTAGTTTTCGGCAGAAAAGTCCATAAATTTTTCCAGTGTCTTTACTTAGAGTCAGTAGTGTTTGGGTTGGTTGAAGACTTATAATTTGCCTGTTTATCAGACTGTTGTACAAATTTAGTTCCTATCTAATATAGTTGGTAACTAATGGGGTTGTTGGCGACTTGTCATCAGATAGATCAGTGGGAGGAAGGGGAATTTGAAAAGGGTTAGGGTACATTATTGTATCTGAAGTAAATATTGTGGCAATGTCGAATTTATAAGTGCAAATGGGCTCTCTCAGTGAAGTCATCAGTCATCTCAAACTCGTGAGCCATGCATGTCTAGGTCGGCTGGCAGAAAGTTTTTGAATCTTTTGGGGCAGGGAGAGAGAGTAATTCCAAGCAGTTTTACGAGTTATAATATTTAGTGGTTTAGAATTTACTAGTGCAAATAAGCGTCAATCATCTCGCCACTGACTAGTCACACATCAAAATCGGCTGGCAGAAGGATTTTAAATCTTTTTGGGTCGTGAGAGGGTAATTCTAAGATGTTTTAACGGTTGTAGTTATCAAAAAAATTTGTGCGAGTTGGCTGTGTGGTCATTTCCCTCCACCCAACTGTTTCAATTAATATCATGACATTTTTTTTCCCAATATATGTTTTTGTAGGCAGTTTAGGCTGATTTACAGTTTAAATTTATTGAATAAGTAACGATGTTCACATTCTATTGAAAAGCAGTTATCATGAATGAAATGGATTTTGCAGATTTCTAATCCTGTTATGCATCTAAAGTGCTACCATCCTCCATCACCAACCTTCATAATTTCTCTTCTGAAACTTTTCGGCTCCTCTTCCTCCTCTAATCTACTGAACGCACAAAATTCTTAGAAGATCTCAACAACTACCTTGAAAATTGGATATGTGAGAATAGATCTAGGATTTTGTTGCTGATGCAAGAAGAGAACAAATATCCAAGCAACTCGTTATGATTTCTGGCCATTGAAAAATAAGCGTACAACCTGTATCCCAATCAACTCTAGTCTAGCTTATGCACAGAATGTTAGAAATGTCACATAACTTGGCAATAGAAATGATGACGATCAAAGGAGTGATAAGGTGATGAGTAAATGTTGGAGTGATAAAATTATCAAATTTAAACCAAGGGATAAATGCAAAGTTGTTAATTTGTTCTTTGATAGTTATCTATTTTTTGGATAAACACTGGCTATAGAGAGTTGTTGAACTTATTTTATTATAAATAATCAACTATTTTATTCATTTTTAAAATTCTTTTCATAATTTTTTTCATTGGTATTAGAGCCATTGTGAGCACTCACACACCGCAAGTCTTCTCTTCCACTATCACTTTACTATCCGTAAATGTTGATAACTTTATACTCATTTCTCATTAATTCTCGTCCATCAAATACATCCCACCAAATCCAAACAAAACAATAGAAACGAAAAATTTCATACCAAAATTGACAAATGAGTTCAAGAAAAGGTTGATTATTTCCCTAGTGTAGACCTTGTCCCCACCAAATACATCACATCAAATTCAATCAAAAAAAAAAAAAAAAATCACCTCAAAATTAACAAATGAATTCATTGCCCAGTAAAAGTCCAATCCTCTCATTCATGATTGGATTGAAGAAACTCTCTGACTCCTTGTAGGCTTAGACACAACCTATGCAATATGGGAAGCACTTAAAATGCTTATATACAAAAGTGACATATCTTCGCAAGAATGAAGATAAAAAATCATTGTTAGCTTCTTCATCAAACCAATATCCATAGCAACTCTCAATTTTTCGAACCAAACTGTGCCTTCAGCCCAGCACAGTTTGCGGGAAAATGTTAGAAATGTCACACAACTTGACAATAAAAATGATGAGGATCAAAAGAGTGATAAGGAGATGAGAAAAGTTGGAGCAATAAGATTGTCAAATTCAGACCAAAGGATAAATGCAAAGTTGTTAATTTGTTATTTGATAGTTGTTATCTATTTTTTGGATAAACTGTAGTTATAGAGAGTTGTTGAACTTATTTGATTATAAATAGGAATAAATGTGTGCTGGGTGCTCATGGCGTATGGTTGTCAATCAATAATGTTATAATCAAGTCCTTTATTCATTTTTAAAGTTATTTTCATTTTTTCTTCTTAGAATTGTTATAATGGTGGATCTGTGGTGGTCTTGCTAGGGGTGGAGTGGGGTAGAGAGGGAGAGAGAAGGAAGTCGTGATTTGGATGGTGGTGTTAAAGTTGCTGGTTAGGGTAGGGGGATAGGATGATTAATGAAAACTGTGGCATTTCTGTTAGGAAAATTTTAAAAGAAAGCTGGAGAAGTATTTATTTGGGTAAATAGACTTTAAAAAAAAATAAAAAACAACTAAAGTCGAAAAGAGATTCAAAATGGAGTAAAATTTGTGCAATTGAAAAGTTTGAGACTTAAGTCAAAATGAGCCGTTACCCCCTTCAACATTTAGTACACAGTTATTGTGGATGTAATTGATTTATTTTGTTCACTAGTGCTCTATTGTTAATGATTTGAATGTTCATTTATGCTTGTTTAGGTGACACACTCCGACTTCAAGAAGGCTAAAGACAAGGTTATGTTCAAGAAGAAAGAGGGTGTTCCAGAAGGACTTTACATGTGATAATAATCTTCTTCTGCTTCATTGGCACGTACGTCACTTTTCTCAATTTTACCAAGAACATTTTGATGTTTGTTTTTCTTATCAATGATCTCGGCATCATTCACAGAAAGATGGAAATCTTATGTTGCAATATTTTGATTCATTCATCCTCAATTTAACTCAGCTGGTTTTGTTAAAAGGAGTATTTTGATATTTAGAAAATATGAATTGTCGAGTATCCATAAACAATTGATGAACCATGTGGCCGCCTGGTATATTTTTTTAAATATGTAGACAGGAAGAAGAGTTGTTCTATCTTTCTACGGTCTTGCACTTAGAAGGAGAATTGACTGTGTATTGGGGTCGTGTAATGCAATAATACCCCCATGAAACTCTCTGAAAGGCTAGCTTTTTTTAGCTCTTAATTTTCTATTTTATTTAGCCCTTGTTCGAGTCTCATTTTTGAGAAAAATGTATTTTTGAATAATGATTTTAGGAGAATTTGTAGTTAAGCAGTAAGAAAAAATTTTGGTTTACGTGTAAATTTATTTTATTAAAAAATGTGATTGAAAATGAGTTTTTGAAATAATGAGACTCAAACAAGGGCTTATAATGATCAGTGTGATCTAAAATTTTATTGTCTAAATTGTAAAATCTATACACAAATCACATTATTTCCCAACAATTACTACTTTGGTTGGTTTTGACATTCACAATTTGATGCCTTGAGAGTCGCACGCAGCAAGTTGCAAAGGTAACAGTATCTATTTATTTGCAAAAGATCTAACTTTACGTGAATGATATACTGAGCACCCGTGCTTATCTTATGTTAGGCATATGTATTGTGTCATATAAATCCATTGGGTAATAAAGTTATGGTGAGTCTGAGTCTTAACATTTGAATTAAGTTTAAAATCCACCAATAAATTTATGTAACACGTCGCCGAAGTTTAATATAAACTGAGCACTAATACTCATTAAATCATATATATATTTATATTTATTTATTTTGTTCTTAATATATAAACATGATAAAGTTTCAATGTGAAGCTTGTCAAATATATTTTTGGCAGCTTCAAATGCATGCATACAAACGAAACATAGCAAAGATTGCAACATGGTTTTAACAGGCTACAACAGTAAAGCAACAAGTAGCAGATACAAACTTAAACACAAACTAAAATAATTGCCATATAATAGATTTATTACGCCATAGAAAGCTAACATTTGTAGTAATGAGCTTCAAGGGTACGGTAAGGCTCCGGCGACACTGCCATCACCTCCACCTAAGCCATTACCAATTCCACCGCCAAGGCCACCATCATCACCAACACCACCAAGTCCACCTGTTCCAATTACGCCCCCAAGACCACCGAGTACACCAACGCCAATGCCAAGACCGCCACCTGTACCTACTCCAGTCCCCAAACCACCACCACCAATGCCACCGAACGTGGGGATGTTCTTTTGCTCATTCAGACCCTTGTCAACAGGCACAACTCTTGCTGTTGCCTGAGCTACAACAAGGGCAAGAAGAAACATTATACATAACTTTGCCATTTTTCTCTTAATTTAAGGGTTCTCCTCTCCTTGCTTGACACACCTAAATGTTAAGTTGTAGCTCTCCTTTTATAGATGGGGGTGGTGGTGGGGATGGTTGCTATATTGAATGAATGATAATAAATAATGTTACTACTTAGGTTGTTTTTAAATATTCACAATCTCTTCAGAGTCACATGCAGCAAAGTGCAAGTGTAATTGTATCTACCCATAACTTTATTCCGTAAATATAACTCGATCAATGTTAGAGAACAGAGACAACAGAACCAGGTTTCTTAAAAAATGACGAAAACTTCTTCTGAGGTTTGTTTTAAAAGATAATTTCTTTATCTAAATAAATTTAAGAAAAATGAATGTTCCTAATCTGATGTAAAGATAATGGTAAAATAGGAAAGAAATATTTATTTTAGCCTACGGGAGGTATTATATGTGATATATGAAAATGTAAGAATTCCCAGCAATCTTTAATATGAATTCGAGGCGAACGTTCTTACTTGAAATGATAAATTCCAAGGTCTTTGTTGTGGTTGAATTAACTTGCATTTCAAATATCCAAAATTCGTATTTTCTTATTGTCCAATGATCTCAATCACAATCACAATGGAAGGAAATTATTACACAATCTAATTGCCTAATTTGGTAAGTTTTCATACCAAAATAGTGATTTTAGATCCTTTCCAATTTTAGTGTATTTTCAAGTACGAATTTCACACTATTATCATGCCATCTTTTCTCTCACCTCAATAGTTAGACAAAGCAGGGGGAGTTATTTTGGAGTTATAGTGTTGGGTTTGAGGGAAGTTATGGGTTTGAATTTTATTAAAATCATTCCCTTCAAACTATTTTGATGTCTTGTGGGTCGGGTCTCCCACATGGGTGATCCACGACCTGTATTTTTCAACAATAAAGAGTGTCTTTGTTATTGTCAATTAGTTAAAAGAGTCTCTTTGATATTGTCTTTAAATAATATTTTCAATAGAATATTCTTGAGATCGATTGAAAGTTGTTAGATAGGATATAAATTGTAGAGGCGATTTTAGAGTATGGAAACGTGAAAGTCAAAGTTGGTTTGCTTTTTAACATCTGAACTCAATGTAAATTGAGAACTCCAAAAGGCAGGATTTTTCCTACCAATCACCTACTGAAGCGAGACTCAATAAACACCAATGGTGTCTAGAGGTGTTGCTCTCACAAGTCATGGATATGGACAGGCTCAACGAAAAAATTACGGCTCGAACCATCCTTCAAGCCAAGGTTTCCCAGGGTTAGCCGGTTAGATAACAAGTTACAAAACTTTCGTGGTAGGAGGGCCCCTGCACCACGAATAATAATAATAATAGAGGGAGGGATGTTGATGGCCTTCAATAATTATATGCATATGATGCTGCTATTTGTTACCACCCACGCACGCTGTGTGTATGTGTGTGTGAGTACTTCACTGCAATAACATTATTGCAATAATGCAGGACACTCTCAAGAACTCTGTAGATCGACCCTCTTTGAAGAGTCTTAACACGACTTGTTTAGAGATCAAGCACGATTCACATTTGTTAGTAACTTATCCTTCGTTGGTCCAGTGGGCGAGTAAATGGACTCAATAGTTTACTTACTTTTGCAAGTCCGTCTATGCATATGATAGATGAATAGAATCAAATCCACTTCTCGGTATTGATCAATTCAAGACATAACTCGTCCTTAGTTGATTCATTCAAATAATCGAAATGATTCGCTTCTCTATATTGATCGACTCATGATATAATGGTCCTAAGTCTGGATGAACCAAACAAATGTCAATCATGCTGAAATTAAGTGTCTTGATCCATCTCACTCACCATCAATGTACCTTAATACTCTCATGTGATGGTGTAAATAGGCCAACAATACCACATCTACGTTGTTAGAAAAGTAAATGCAGTGTCGGAATGTGTACTGGAAGTTGGTAAATTCAATAATTCCTCAGCTCAATGATTCCCAACTAAATAGACATGAGACATTTTATACTTATTAAGGTAATTTATATTATAACATTGTTACCCGTCAAAAGAATCTGACCAGTTTGAGTGATAGAAGACGTCATGGCGTGAGGTGATTGGATGAAAAAGTTAACTGTGCTTAAAACAGTCCAATGGTAAAATTCCATATGGCATTATGTCAAAATTTATGTTCTTGTAGCATGATTGTTTATATTATATTACTACCTCAATTTCATAAAGATAAGTTTGTTTCAATTTTCACACAGATAAAAAAAAAAAAATTAATATAGTTAAAAAAATATTTTTTTTAATTATTTTTTTACATTTTCTCTAATATGATTTAGAAAATTAAAAAATATCTATACTTTAAATAAAAAAGCCGCATACAATTTGAGACAAAAGAAAAAGGAATCAAATTTATCTTTATTGGACGGACATAGTGATAAGTGCATTTTTGTGCACTTATTAAGGCCATATTACTAAGTTTTTTGTGTAATTTTATTATTGCATTTTACTTAACTTAGATTATTTTTTTATCTTATTTCAATTTTGGACTTTTTTTAAGTAATTGGAAAAGAAAGAAGGATAAATCGATCAATTGATGGAAGTTTGGGGACTACCATGCATTTGAGTAAAAGTTAAGACACTAAAATTAATGTAACTTGATATGGAGGACCAAGATGGAAGAAAGAATAAAGAAAATGATTAAAAAGAAAATTCACGAAAGTTTTATAACTGGGTAGCCGCCCAGTTATATTGGACGGGCGATCGTCCGACCATCAACATCATCAACAGGAGCCATTTTTTAAGCCTGGGTGGCCACCCCATTTTCTACTGGGCCCATGCCAAATCGTGAAAAAATTTCTGGTTTCCTAATTTGATTCTAACTTTTATGGAAATGAATCTGGAGTGTCTTTTAAAACTCTAGGGCCGTCCAAAAGTGAGGGGGGAGATTGGAGAAGACTTTTGAGAGCAGAAAAGTGGCACGAACGGGAATATCAACTCCAAGAACACGAAGATTCAACCGGGGTGATATCGTTCTTCATCTATATTTCTGATTTTCTTCTTCCTACCCTGCTAGGCTAGATTAATTATATACTAGGGTTAGATGAACTATATAATATGATTTTCAATTCTTAGTTTTACATTCTTGGCAAGTAAAAATACGTTTTGAATATTTGAATGATTTATATGAATTCCTTTCCCTCCATTATTATTGTAAATGTAATTGTGTGAATTTAGTGATCTATTTCATGCATTCAAAAGAAGAGAAATATGTTCGACAGGTATGAATCATCATAGGGTCCGATAGGAGATAGAAATATACCGCTATACCCTATAGGAATCTTTACGTGCTCATAAAAACACGTGTATTCTTGTATGTTCTTATTCGTCATACAGATATAGTTGAGTTATATATGAGAATATGTTTGACTTTACTTGAGAGACTGTTAAATAAATTAGGAGTATTAATTCTTAAATATTTCAATCGTGTGTCAAGGTGTAGAACTATGTTTTGAGAAGAATATTACATAAGGATTCATGATCCTAGTACATTCATCATACATTCGAAAACTCAAATTTATATCCATCGTCAATTTGTATTTAGTTAGTTAATTCATTCATACTTACATATTGATCGTTAATTTAGTTATAATTTCATCAAAACAAATATTCTCATTTTATAGTTTCGGTTAAAGTCACGGTAATTAGAATTAGAACTAATCAATCTTCGTGGGAACGATAAGTTAATTCATTCATACTTGCATACTTATCAGTAATTTAGTTATAATTTCGTTAAAATAAACGTTCTCATTTTTATTGTTTTAGTTAAGTTCACGATAATTAGAATTTAAACTAATCAATTCTTGCGGGACGATACTTGGATTCAAAAAGTCCATTTTATTACTTGTAACGAACCCTACACTTACGGTGATTTTAATTCAACATATTTTCGTGAACAAAGAGTACAAACAATCAAGTGCAGGTCGTTGCCGACCGTAGCCACCAGTTATAACATATCATGTTACACCGTCATAATTGATAAGTGTATTTTATACACATATTCGGGGATCTAAAATATTGATATTTGTTAGTTTTTTTGACAAAACATATCCTAAATTATTGTATTTTATGTTATATGAGTAAAACGTAATGATTGAACGAAAAATTGGAAGAAAAAAGGAATAATCAAGGAAAATAGTAAAATTCAAAGTTTGATGACCATATTGCAAATATTCAATAGTATATTCGGACCACAAGATGATACTTTGACAATTGCTAGGAGACAATTGGATGTAATTAAAACTCAAATAGGAATGGAATATGATCAAAATATTATCAAAATCAATTTCCAATCGCATAAGTTATAATCCAGATTTTTTGATATTGAGACCCATTTTTGGCATAGTTAACTTCTGAATTGGAAATATTATATCTAGAAAAGTTGTAGCTCTTTGAGTTAATTTTCCAATACACATTGCCTCGATTCAATACTTGGAGAGAAAGTTATGATCAAAATACTTACTGCTGTGCAATGACCAAAAAAATTCGCGGGCGAAAGTAATTTTCCTTATTCGATTGGAACTCTTTTGGAAACAAATTTGGACGTGATTTTCAACTAATTTTTTACTCATATATTTACCTAACAACAGAATACATGTTAGAGACCTCTCATATACATATTATAATCCAGTATTTATCAACTATTATCATTAAATAAGGAAAATTCTTAGTTTTTGTGAAAAAATTGAAGGGGACTTGCAAAAATTTAATCAAGTGAAGATTCAAACTTGTCTTTTTGGCAAAGAAGAGAATGTGCAATAGGAGTTTCATCAAAAAATCATTGAAGGCATTTAAGATTTCAAGATTCATATTCACTTTTTCAATTTATCAAAAATCCGGGTTATGTCTTTCCGTTTAAATATGACTTTTTGTAATTTCGATATGTTAAACTGATTTTATACATTATTAGGATGAGATGAACATTTGTTATGATATTTTTATTTTTTCATTAATTATTTTTTC